CCTTCTTTGCAACGAAACTAAAAAGTCGTGACATTCGGCGGCAAACAACCGAACAAACGTTTTGAGCGCGATAAAGCTGAAATTAATGTAATTAGCTACAAACAAGCAGAAAAGCTCCTTTCGGTGCAATAAAACAGCTTAATTCAACGGCAACCGGGGGAAAAAACCTTTTTGTGTGATAGAGCTGAAAAGAGCGTAATTTATGTGAACGAAAGAGCGAAAATGTTGTCATGAGCAACATGTAGCTATATTCAGCGTGATTAGCTGCAAATAAGCTAAAAACCTTTCTCCAGTGCAAAAAAGCTTTAAAAAGCGGAAACTTGTACCAAAACAACGGAAAACGTTTTTTTTGAGCCATACATAGCTTGAATTTGCGTGAGTAGCTGCCAACTAGCGAAAATCCTTATTCAGTGCAAAAAGGCTGAAAATAGCGTAGTTTAGCAAGAAAAAGGAAAAAACTTTGTTTTAGCTGAGATAATTAATCACCTATAAATGGACTAGAAAACCAGTGTTAGTGTAAGGAAGGTAAAGACAGCGTAACAACAAGAAACCAGCACATAGAAAGGTTTACGGCAAGACAGAGCTGTAAAAGGCGTAATTTAGCAGCCAAGAAGAAAAAATTCTTTTTATGAGTGAGACCTAGCCTAGAACAACGTGATTAGCTTCAAACAGGTGAAACCTTTTCTCTTCTTTTCAAAACAGCAGAGACGTTCTCTTGAGCGAGATATGGCCTGAATGTGATTCGCTGCGAACAGGCGAAAAACCTCTCTCTCCAGTACAAAAAAGCTGAAAACAGCGAAATTTAGCACCAAAACAAAAGAAAGAGTTTTTTGAGTGAGATATGGCTCGAATCAGCGTTATTAGCTGCAAACAAGCCAAAATCTTAATTCAGTGCAAAAAAAACCTGAAAACAGCGTAATTTAGCACCAAAACAGATGAGAAGTTCTTTTGAGGCAGATACAAACAGGCGAAAATCTTTGAATGCAAAAAAAACTGAAAGTAGCAAGTTTTGCTTCAACCGCAAAAATGCATAGTTAGCTTGATAGGATCGACTGCAGAAACTGTATAATCAATCTCCATCGCTTTAACTTGTTAAAATAGTCAAAAGAGCTAAGACAGTTAATCTGCACAAATTGCACAATCTATCTTGATAGATAAAGTTTTCCAAGTGGCCATACATTAGCTTAAATGATTCAACCCGTTAAACGGTCAATCTCGGTAATACAGTTGGATTCCAGTAAATAATAAGTATTTTAAAAAGAGACCAGCGCAAAATTACTGCGCACCAATAACACAGAATCACTGATACCTGGTGAATGAATGCTAAACGCCCCAAGTGCCATACTTATTTCTTAAATAGTTAAACCACTTAAACTAGATTGTGCAGTTTGTGCGATGGAACCATTTAAGCTAGTTATGCATTTTGTGCCATTGAACCATTTCAGCTACCTCAACCAATAAGAAAGATACTGCAATCTGTGCAGTTTAACTGTCTTTACTGGTTTGACTATTTTACAAGTCCAATCAAATAAAATAGTTTGACTATTTTAAATATTTCGTGCAGTTTGCGCTGTTAATTCATTGAAGTTAGTTTGACTGTTAAACCGTTTGAAGTATTTGAGCTAGATTGTTGAAATTGTGCAGTTGAACTGAATACACTAGATTTGCACTTTCTTCAGTTGAAGCATTCAAGCTAGTTAAGTTATGTAAACTACTTCGACCATTTCAGCTAGACTTTTCAGATTGTGCAGTTAATACCAATTAAGCTAAATATGGATTTTGTCCAACTAAACTGTTTTTGACTATGTGATTTACCTTCGACCGATAAAAATAGCTTTTGCAATTTGTACAGTTTATTTTGATTTGCTTGTTTAACTAATTAAGCAGTTAAAGCATTTAAGGTAGCTAAGTTTCTTGGACTATTCACAATGGTCAAACTATGTTGATTGATCCGACTTGTTAAAATAGTGAAACCACAGAAGAGAGTTAAACTGGACACATTGCACCATCTTTCTTAATTAGCTAAGGTACTTAAAATGGTTCAACTTTACAAACTGCATAAGTAGCTTAAATGGTTTTATTACACAAACTGCACAATCTAATTCAAGCGGTTTAACTAGTTAAGATAGTAGTATAGCACTTGGTGCTTTTAACGCATATTCACCAAATATCTGTTCTGTTACTATAGCGAGGTAATTTGGCGCTGGCTTTTTCATATAATACTCATCATTTCCTGGAATCCATATGCTATCCAATCCCTCAAAAAAAACCACCTTGTCGTGGTCGGCAGGGTTACGTGCCTCAGAGACCACTAGAACTTTGTCTCCTGGTAGGGCAACCCCAGCTGGACAGGTCGAACGGTAGCGCGACCCACCGGTCCGATAGGGGGCTGGGCACAGGGCTGAAAATTCAAACGGAAACGAAAAAAAAGAAAACGGTAACAAAGAAAATCAACACTACTGGGCAAGACGGATTTTCAGAGTCATCCAAAGATCTCGTATGAATGACAGTGGTGAAAGCCCAAAGGAAACTGCTGACAGGAAGATGAAAGTTTTGAGCGCCAAATGGAAGACGAGAATTGGATTCTGGAATGTAAAAACTATCTACGAGAAAGGAAAGCCGGTACAATCCAAAGCTGACGTGAGACGTTACAACCTACACTTCCTTGGAATCAGTGTGAGCAGATGGGCAGGTTTAGGTAGACACAAATCCAACACAGGAGAGACAGTGCTATATTCCGGTGCAGATGACCAGCACCATAAGAGACTAGTCATCATCTTCAAGAAAGGTCGCGAGAAGTGCCTGATGGAGTGGAAGCTAATCAACAGCAGGCTCATAAAAGTGAGATTGAAAGGGAGACACATTAACACAACTATCATCCAGTGTTACGCACCAACAAACGACAGTAAGAAGGACAGCAAGGACACCTTCACAAACCGCTTCAAGAAGACCTAGAAAACACGCTACGTCTTGAGATGAAAACTTTGATGCGAAATCTTGGGGTAAATGTTGGGAATGACAAAACGAACTACGAAAGGGTATGGGGAGAGAAGGATGTGGCATCATGAATGACAACGGAGAGAGGCTACTGGACATCTGCACCGCCTTTGATTTTCAATGCCCTCAACAACTGCAACAACTGGCGAGGAATTGCCTTACTATCTGCACCCAGCAAGATCCTGGCCATAATCATCATCCAGCGAATAGCCAACACAGTGGACCGATAATTGACAAGAAAGCAGGCAGGGTTTCGGAAAGGAAAGGGATGCCCACACCAGATCGTTACCCTGCGTAACATCATAGAACAGTGCACAGAGTGGCATACACAAATCTACATCAACTTTGTAGACTTTGAGAAGACTTTTGCCAGCGTGCACCGGGAAAGTCTGTGGTATATTCTTCGGGCCTATTGGATACCATAACAGATTATCGACATCACCAAAAGCTTCTAGAACAACTCCACATGCAGAGTAGCCAATAGGAAAACCGGCTTTGAAGTAAGGTCTGGCGTCAGACAAGGCTGTACCATCGACTGGGTAATGAGGCGCACCACAGCCGATCAGTCACGAGGCATCAGATGGACCCTTTTACCAATGCTTGAGGACCAAGATTTTCTAGATGATCTAGCCTTGGTCTCCCATACTCACCAACACGTGCACGAAAAGACGTCCCGACTCAGCACTCACACACAGCGAGTTGGCCTGAAGATCAGCGGAAAGGAGACAGAAGTGATGATGCAAAACGTGTCCAACCCTAAACTAGTTCAAGTGAACTGAGAAAACCTCCCAATAACTCAAGAGTTTATTTACCTGGGTGGCACAGTAAGGTATGATGTAGGAACAGGGAGTGACATCAAGAACCGTCTCAACAAGGCTAGAAACGCCCTCACGATGCTCAACCACGTGTGGAGGTCTTCTCAGTAAAGCACCAAGACCAAGCTCCAGATCTCTTAAAGCTGTATGATGTTCACCCTACTATACGGCTCTGAATGCTGGAGGATAACAGAGAGCATCATTACCAGGCTGTCAGTCTTGCACGCAAAGAACCTCAAGCGAATCCTGCTAGTCTTTTGGCCTGACACTATCTCCAACCAACAGCTGATCACCCGCTGCAATCAAGACAGCATGGAGACCATCATCATGCGAAGGTGACGGAGATGGATTAAGCACGTCATGAGGAGAGAACAGGACAACATCACTCGCACAATCCTTTAATGGACACCTGAAGGAAAGTGCAAGAGGGGATGACCAAGAAACAGCTTGCGCCGAACTGTGGGGGCAGAGCTCAAGACCATGTAACACGCTGGCAATCGTAACAATCGCAATAACACCACAGCTTCTCCCCACTAGCTAGTGCATGCAATATGGTAACTAATGAGGATCTGAAACGTTAAATCAAACACAACAAGCCTATTGAGGTTTGCACAGTCTTAATGTCAATTCAAAGTTCGTAAATCCGGCCTAGCTGGGGGCTTCTGCACTTGGACCGGATATCGTCTAACAGGAACATGTTCAGGAACAGGCTCACTCAAACTTGATGGACTGCTAACCGCGAGGTCAGCCTCTCGACTTGGTGGTGGGATATCAGCCTCCATGTTACTGGCTGCTAGCTGTTCACTGGCTTCAGACACTGGGTCCTCACGACTCTCAACCTGGATGGAAGTTGTGAGGTCTGGGTAACAGGGTTGCATCTTGGTGTCAGTACCAGTCGAAAGCGTAATCGTCTACCCAAAAATAGTTGAGGTGGCTCTTCCCCAGTTTTAATGGGGGGTATTTCTGTAAGCTAGCAAGAACGTTGCCAGCTGAATGCTCAGAGGTTTTACTTCCGTTTTACTTTTCATGACTGATTTGAAACTTTGCACACAGCACTTGGCTAGACAATTGCTGGCAGGATGGCATAATGCAGATATCAGATTAAAACTGTGGCTCATTGTTACAAACCAACTAACTAGGATGGCACACCATATCTAGCTAACAAACCCTGCAGTTTCTCGATGGTCTTCATTGAGCTCGTTGGGCCCATTTTTCCAATTCCAGCCGTCTAGAATGGGCATCCACGACAATCCAAAACATGCAGCTGAGGAAAGGTCCGGCAAAATCAACATGGATTCGCTGCGAGGGTGCCGACGGCCATTCCCATAGATGTATAGCTCTGGTAGTAGGCTCAGCCTGCACTAGCTGCCAACCCGAGTAGGTCCTCGGCGCTTCCTCGATTTCCTTGTGGATTCTTGGCCACCAGATGTATCTTCTTGGTAGGGACTTCATCTCCACCCCTCCAAGATGTCCTCGATGGAGTTCTTGAAGCACTTGTGGACAAAGTTTTGGGGTTACAATGACTCTGATTCCCCGCATCAAACAGCCTGAGTGTACTCTTATCTCATCCCTGTGAGCGTAGAAGGGGTTGAGTACAGGAACATGGCTACTTAGCCATTCTTTAGCCAACATCTCATGGACTTGATCCAGGACAGGGGCCTTTACACTTCTCATCGGACGTCTTCAACTGTAATTGGTAACACATCGAACTGTATCATCTTGAAAACATTCACTGTATCCACAACTTTTTCTGCTCTTTCTTTGGTTTTAAGTGTCAGGCGAGAAAGGTCATCTGCATTAATGTGCCCTTTAGTGTTCTTGTACCCTATTTGGTGGTCGTAGCCAGCCAGGAATAATGCATAGCGCGGAAGCCTGCCTACTGTAACCACTGGAACGCTCTCTCGTGGATGGAAGATGGATCTTAACGGCTGACGATCGGTGTACAGAGTGAGAGATATTTACAGTTTTTGTGAGTGTCCTGGAAGGAAAAGCAATGGGTCCCTCAGTCCCATCATTCATCACGCGGGATAGCACGGTACCAATTTCCACAGGGGATGCATCACAAGCAAGCCTTCGTAGGAGAATGGGATCATAATGTGTGAATACTTACTCCGAGGTGATCATTTCTTTCAGGTTGTGGAATGCTTTTTTTGCATTGTTCCGTCTATTTCCAATGAGAGTTGTTCTCTAACAGCTGGTTCAAAGCGTGTACCACCATTGACAGGTTGGGTAAGAATCTGTCGTAGTAATTGACTAGCACCGGGAAGAACCTTACTTCAGCTACATTGCATGGTCGAGGCGCTTTCAAAACTGCTTCAACTTTCTCTGGTGACTTGTGGCTGGGGACAGGCACAATTTCTGTGGCCCATTCATTCCACTCTTCTTTTAAACTTCATTCTGGAGTGTTCACAGCTCTTATTCCACCCTATAGCATGAGTCTAACGATGAGGAAGCGTGCTTAGCTACCATCTTTAAGAGTTAACTTCCCTTTAGCTGAAGTCAGGATGCCCAGTTTATTTTAAAAAAAAATCTGAGTACTTGTCTAGCATAACGTCCAAACGCTCTTCAGGATTTGAACAAGCAAGAAAATGGCGTAAACTTTTTCAGTGAGATCAAGCAAAAATCAGTCAATTAGCAACAAACAGGCCAGAAAACCAGTTTACACAGCGTGATTAGCTTGAAATAGGCGAAAATCTTAATTCAGTGCAAAGAAATGGAAAACAGCGTAATTAAGCACCAAATAAGAAGAGAGGTTCTTTTCAGTGAGATATAGCTTGAATCAGCGTTATTACCTGTAACCAAGCAAAAATGTCAATTCAGTGTGAAAAAACCAAAAAAAAAGCGTAATTTAGCACCAAAACAAAAGAAGGTTCTTTTCAGTAAGATATAGCCTGAATCAGCGTGCATAGCTGCAAACAAGTGAAAATCTTTACTCGGTGCAAAAACGAACGGAAAACAACGTAATTTAGCAACAAAACAGCAAAAACGTCCTTTTTAGTGAAATCAAGCTAAAATCAGTCAAATGGCCGAAAAAGGCCAGGAAAGCAGGTTTGCTGCAAGGAAGGTAAAGCAATGTAACAACAGGAAACGAGCACAAAAAGTGCTTTCGGTCCGATAGAGCTGAAAAGAGCCTTAACTAGCAGCGAAAAAGCAAAAGTGTTGTTGTGAGTGAGATTAAAGTTAAGACAGCATGATTAGCTTCAAACAGGCGAAAACCATTTCCAAAGGGAAAAACCTGAGAACAGCGCAATTTAGCACCAAAAGAGGAAAAACTTTCATTTGAGAGAGAAACAGCTAGAATCATTGTGATAAGCCACATACAAGCCAAAACCTTTTTTGGTGCAAAAATAGCTGAAAACAGGGTAAATTTTGCAACAAAACGGCAAAAAAGTTCTTTTGAGTGAGATAAAGTTAGAATTCGTGATTACCGCAAACAAGCCAAAACCTTTTTTGGTGCAAAAAAAGCTGAAAACAGGGTAATCTAGCAACAAAAAAGCAAAAAGGTTCTTTTGAGTGAGATAAAGTTAGAATCATCGTGATTACCTGCAAACAGGCTAAAACCTTCATGCAATGTAGAAAAGCTAAAAACAGCGTAATTTAGCAACAACACAGAAAAACTTTGTTTTTAGATAGATCAAGCTAAAATCAGACAATTACCTGCAAAAAGGCCGAAAAAATAGTTCTGATATAAAAAAGCTGAAAACAGCGTAAACAACAGGAAACAAGCACAAAAACGGTTTTCGGAGCGATACAGCTGAGCAGCTGAAAAAGAAAAATGTTGTAATGAGTATGAGATAGCTGCAAACAGGCAAAAAACCTTAATTCAGTGCGAAAAAGCTGAGCCATATTAGCTTCTTTGACAATTTGGACAACTTCAACCAATTAACAAAGATAATCTGTGCAGTGTAACTGTCTTGGTTGGTTTGACTATTAAGCGAGTCGAATGAATTAAAAAAGTTTGACGATTTTAGCTACTTCAACCAATTCAACTAGATTCTGCAGTTTGTGCGGTTTATTCCTTAACGTTAATTTTACCAGTTCCAGTCCGATTTTCCTCAGCTTATTTTAGTTTGACTTTTAAACCAGTGGAAATATTTGAGCAAGATTTTTCAAATTGTGTAGTTGATTTGAATACTCTAGTTATGCATTTTGTTCAGTTAAACCATTCAAGCTAGTTAAACCATGTAATCTACTTCAACCACTTGCGTCAGATTGTGCAGTTTGGGCCGTTGATCCTATCAGGATGGTTAAAGCATTCAAGATAGTTTCACCATGTTAACTACACTTCGACCAATGCGATAGATCGTGCGCTTTAACTGTAATTGCTCTAATGACATTCAGCCAGTTGAGCCATTAAAGCGACTTATACGTTTTGTCTTGATTAACCATTTCGGCTAGTTATGAATTTTGTTCACCCCAATAATTTAAGAGTGATTAAAAATTTGATCCTGTCTAACCAGTTGACAAAGATTCTATAGACTGTGCAGTTCTGCTCTTTGCAATAGTTTCACTATTTTACCGTTTGAACTATTTAACCTTCTTATGCATTTTGTCCGGTTGACCTTTTTTTGGCTAGTTTGATCATTTGAACCACCACAACCAACGGAGATAGGATTGTTCAATTTGTGTATTTAGGCATCCTCGCTGGCTTGACTATTTCAAAGTTTTTGACTAGTTGATTAAATTATCCAAAACAGCAAAACCGCACAAATTGCACAGTCTATCTCAACTGGTTAAACTAGTTAAAATGCTCATACTAGCTTAGATTGTACAAGAGGAAAAAATGTATAGCGAGCTTAATAGGTTCGACTGCACAAACTTCTCAATCTCGTTTAACTGGTTGAACTGGTTAAATAATCAACCTAGCAAAAACGGGTAGAGTGCACAATTTGCACTATCTATGTCAAATGGCCGATGTAGTTCAATGCTCAAACTCGATTCATTGATTTACACGCAAAAAATGCATAAGTAGCTTAATAGGATCATCTGCACAAACTGCACAATCAAGCTTCATTGGTTGAGCTCGTTAAAATAGTCAAAGTAGCTACGACACTTACTGCAGAAATTGCACAATCTGTCTTGATAGATAAAGTTTTTCAAGTGGCCATGAACTAGCTTGATTGATTCAACCAGTTAAATGATCAATATCGGTAAAACAGTTGGATTCCATAAAATAATAACTATTATAAAAAAAAAACTCCAGCGCAAAATTACTACGCAACAACAACACAGAATCCCTGATATCTGGTGAATGTGCGTTAAAGACCCCAAGGGTAATGCTACTATCTTAAATAGTTTAACCACTTAAAGTAGATTGTGCAGTATGTGCGATGAAACCATTAAAGCTAGTTATACATTTTGTGCAGTTGGACTATTTAAAGTACTTCAACCGATTTAGAAAGATGCTGTAATCCGTGCAGTTTAACTGTCATTACTGGTTTCCTTATTTTACAAGTCGAATCAATTAAAATACTTTGACTATTTTAAATACTTCAAGAAACAAAGCTAAATTGCGCAGTTTGTGCCGTTCATTGATTGCCAAAGAAAGAGCAGAAAAAGTTGTGCATGCAGTGAATGTTTTCAATATGAAACAGTTGGAGCCGTTACCAGATAGGTTGAAAACGTCCGAAGAGAAGCCCAAAGGCCCCCTGTCCTGGGCCAAGTCCATGAGATGGTGGCTAAAGGATGGCTAACCAGCCATGTTCCTGTACTCAACCCCTTCTACGCTCGCAGGGACGAGATAAGAGTACACTTAGGCTGTTTGATGCGGGAAATCAGAGTCATTGTACCCACAAAACTTTGTCCACAAGCGTCTGAAGAACTCCATCGAGGACATCTTGGAGGGATGAAGATCAAGGCCCTACCAAGAAGATACATCTGGTGGCCAGGAATCCACAAGGAAATCGAGGAAGCCGCGAGGACCTGCTCGGGTTGGCAGCTAATGGAGGCTGAACCTAGTACCGGAGCTATCCATCTATGCGAATGGCCGTCGGCACCCTGACAGCGAGTCCATGTTGATTTTGCTGGACCTTCCCTCGGCTGCATGCTTTTGATTGTTATGGATGCCCATTCGAGAAGGCTGGAAGTAGGAAAAAAAAGGACACCACGACCTCAACGAAAACCACTGAGAAATTGCAGAGTCTATTCACTAGATATGGTGTGCCATCCCAGTAAGTTGGTGACAATGGGCCACAGTTTATATCTGAGGACTTTCAGATGCTCCTGAAGAGATACGGAAGCAAACATCTTTCACTTGCAACATACCATCCCGCTAGCAATGGTCTAGCCGAGCACTGTGTGCAAAGTTTTAAGTCAGCTATGAAAAGTGAGACGGAAGTAAAAAGGTGATAGAAACACAAATAACAACCGTAATAAGACCTTGCACACACTCACTTCTCAAATACTAATGCTGTTAGTAGGGTATCTAGTGAGAAAAGATACAGAAAGAAAAGTGATCACAACCAATTGTTGAAATTGGGAATTGGTATCAGATGGGATGCTGACGGTAAGACCATTTATGACCTCAGTAGAACACAATATGATAATGGGGCTGTAACCTTAAGGCAGATGAAACACGTCACAGGCAAGAAAGTAGATATGGACAATCTGTTACCCCAAACATTAAAATGCAGGTTGTTAATACCAGATTATGACAGAAGTGAAAACGGTGATAA